GACTACACAAAAATATAACTATAAAAATTGCATTTTAGACTGGCACATCTTTCAGGTGTAGCTCTACCTTCAGAGGAGCCATTGGATTGTTTAGGTGCCTGTGCCCTGCACTAGTGATAACCCACCCTGGACCTGGAACACCCTGTGAACACTGACATACTTAAAAATGGGTCAATAAGCTTTAAAAAAAATACCCTGAAAAAGGAAAATGTTAGGCAAACAAATTTAAAGTGGTTGTAAACCTATTGTAAACCTTAAACCAAAAAAGTGGATCTACTGTACTTACCTGCTCTAAACAAGGATACTGCACTGAGTGATCCCTTACCTCCTCTTCTGGGGTCCTGCTCTCCCTCTTCTCCAAGTACCCCATAGCAAGTTGGCTGCTATGGGGCCACTCTTGCGAGCATGCTTCTGAGCCAGTCTGTGTGCATCCGTAGACACACACAGCACAGAATGGCCATGCCCCCCACAGTCTCCTCACAGAATTTGATTGAGGTCAGAGCCTCCTGTGAATACAGGAAGAGGTGAGAAGAGCTGCTGCAGATGGGCACAGCACAGGATTGAGAAAGGACTCACAGTAAGTGTTTAAGGGGGTGGTTGAAATGTCATTCCCCCAAGGCAGAGAATGCTAAATTATTAGATGGCTGCATTAGTTTTCTTTTTTTTAGGTGTTCTTTTGAGACAAACCATTTGCCACTGACAGGGATGCTTATAAAGCTCCATGCACACTGGGCAGTTTAATAACTCTGGTAACGTTAACTGTGTAATCAGCTTTTATTTGTTTATGTAAAAACCTTTATCCCAAAAGACACAAACAGTTGCTACACTGAAAGGGGAAGTGTCTTCTGAGCAGTCTACAGATTCAGTGATCTTTCATAATTGTGGAGGTGTAGGCCACTACAAATGTGAATGCCCAAGCCCAAAAGAAGAACAGCATCCAGAAAGGTCACAAAGACTGGTGCCTGACTACTTCAGCCAGCCCCAGATGGCATACTGTACTGTGTCATATACACAAGCAGTAGAAATAACGCTTCTACATATGGTGATGATTAGAGTTCAGCTTTAAGATTGCATAAAGTGTTACTAAACCCAGGACCCTGCATTCACTAAATCTGGACTTTTACAGTACACAGAACATGGAAATGCAATTATTTTAGTAAATATAAACTGCTAAATACCTTTTCTCATCAGCAGCTAGAGCAGTCTTGTGACTTCTATCAGTGTCCAGCAGAGCACTGGTTAACGCTTGTAGGAGGAGTTTTCTTTCTGCTCTAGAAGGATACAGAACCCCTGACCTCTGTCTGGACAGTGCTAATTGGCCCCTGTGCTGATCACATGCACTCTCCCAAGAAAAGAAAAGTTCTCTTGCAATACCCACCAAACTGAACATGTGCAGAGTGACTCCACCGATATGTCTTATCAGGAGATAAGAGGGGAACACTGGAAGAAGGGGAGGATCAGAGAAGTCAGAATCAGTGATTTTACATAATGCAGAGGATTAACCCCTTAGGTTCCACAGTGAGATATAACAAACATGCTTTACTGCATATACAGATTGATTTTACTGTTGTGGGTTTAGTAACACTTTAAGGTGGTTACAGCATAATGTTCTGTATTTAGCAGGAAAGAAAAGGATCCGTTGCTGTTCTATTCCAAAAAACAATATTTTTGACTTTTTTGCTATTAAACATGTTCAGTAAAAACATTTAAAAAATCAAATTTCATCATAAATTTAGGCCAAAATGTATTCTGCTACATGTCTTTGCTAAAAAACATCCCAATACGTGTAAATTAACTGGTTTACGTGAAAGTTTTAGCATTTACAAATGGCGGAATATATACTGGAATTTTTTTATTCTTACTAGTAATGGCAGCGATCAGCAACTTATTGCGGGACTGCGGCGGACATTCTGACACTGGTGGGAACTGACTTGGTGTCACTGACATCTCCAGTGACACCAATACAGTGATCAATGCTAATAAAAAGAACTGACACTGTACTAATGACACTGGGCACAAAGGGGTTAACATCTGGGGTGATCAAAGGGTTAACTGTGTACTGTGTGTGTGCTTTACACTGTAAGCACACTGCTTTGTAATACACGGCGATCGCCGGGTGCTGGCAGGGAATCACCGGCCAGAACCGGTGATCAACAGGTGAGGCTGCCAATAGTGCCGTGGGTAGGGCACACGCGCAACTCGCATGTGTCCCCTACCCGGAAATGCAAAATCATGTATATATATGCCCCTTTCAATTAGTGATTCAATTACACAGAATCAGCAGCATGCATGTCATGAATGTTGGGTCTGTTGGATTTCTATTACTCTACTACACCTGCTAGTAAATTATTTGCCATGTAGAAATATCATTTCTACCAAAAACAGTGATTGATCAGGTTAGTGATGTCTGAATGCTATTATTTTGAACACAACTGTATACTCAGTTGGACATAGTATTATGTAAAAGAAAAAGACACGCTCTCCATAATGTAAACCTGATTAATGTGTGACATTAGCTTCTGCTGACATTTTTTTGGATTGCACTGATATGTGGTAGGCGTTCAAAAACAACTAACTGGATAAAACACAACCTATATTATGCATTTTATCATAGGTTAAACCTTTGGCATTTTGTTTTATTTTTTTATGTGCTTCCATTAAAATATTAGGCTCCATTACCATAGGCAATTTGTCCCATCAGTGTCAAATCCCAGCATTTTCAAGCACCCACTAGGCATTGGTGCAGTGTCTAACCAGGAATTCCTGCATTTGGGGCATACATCCCTGAACACAATGTATGGCCCTAAACATCAGTACGTTTGGGTACAGCATCCAGCCGCCCCGTATTCCAGCCAGACATTTTGACAGGCTCCTGGCAACGGGCTGGACATTGCATCTGTGCCTCTGGTGTTCAGAAAAACACTGGCGGGCCAGACTGCCCATGTGCATGTAGTCTATGGTTCCAGAAATGTCCCACCAAAAGAAGAGCTTGCACCTTTTTGTGAGTCTCAGTACAAGCATGTTGCATAGGTGGGATTGGGCTCCATAGACAATAATAGGATTCCTCCTCATTGTCTTGTGACAAACCACACAGGTGTGAGCAGGATTAGTGTTACCAAATAAGTGACTGAACCCCACTATACATTTCTGAATGTACCTACAAAATGGGGTCACCTTATGAGGGCTTGTTCACACCAACCAGCACGCTGGTGTATGTTGTGTGGGGTAGTGAAGGGTCATGTGATATGCTGTTACAACACATCACACTGTTTACCTCTTCCTTTTAATCCCTTCATGATTAAGGCCCAGTTCAAACCACAAAAACGCTCTTCAGATCCATTCTGGATGAGTTTCTGCATGTACGTTTTTACTGTATTTTTGATGCGTTCCTGTTGCTTTTTTATGCTTTTACGGATGCATTCAAGATGCTTTTTTTCCACACTGTACTGGGGTCTGGTGCATTTTTTTGTGTTCCAGTGCGTTATTTTATGCGTTTTACCATGTTCCAGTACAGTCCAGTGCAGGAAAAATACAGCATGTTCTAATTTTTTTCTGGAACTGACTGCACTTTACCATTGGATTCCATATAATCTACTTTCCATGCATTTTTGATGCAGAAAAAAACACACTGGACTACATGTGGTGTGAACTGGCCCTAAAGTCAAAACAAACCTTAATGCCTGAACACAGTTTTGCAACTTTGCCATGTTGTTAGGAAAACTGTACATATCATTGCAACTACTTTGTGTAGCCAGGTGGATTGTACCATGTTTTTTCAGGACAGAGTGGGCTTTTATTTTTGTTGTAAATGGTAAAGGATATCCCCTGATTTTGTTTTATTATGAAAGGAAAACTAGCACAAAATAGTAAAAACTTTTTTTTTAATTTTGCTGTTTATTTTTATGCTATTTTCATGACCTAAAAAAACAAAACAAATGTTTGTACTTACAATCACAATAATACCACATATGCATGCATTATTTGTTTTTTGTACCTGCAGTATTGCCCAGAAACTATACTTTTTGTGCTGCCTAAACACACTGACACCAACACTCGCACCACCTCAATACTAGACACTTTTACTTCTCATCCAGGCCAATTTTCAGATCTCAGCACTATTGTACTCTTAATGACAATTACTCAGGCATGCAACACTGTACCCAAATTAATTTGTTTCATTGTTTGGGACAGATAAAGCTTTCTTTTGTTGGTATTTAAAGCAGAATTCCGCCCAATTTTTTTTTTTAGCCTGTGCAGTGGGGCTGTGCCGACACTGCATAGGTTAACGGTTCGTTTTGTTCTAGGGGAGAGGGCAGTGAAGATATATTCACCTGACCCATCGATCCTCCCTGCACAAGACTAGTCCCTTCAGCTCCTGCTCCCCCTCACCATGGTCCAGCGATCTTGTAAATGGACAGTTTTTGACGCTCCCCCTCACCCCTAGAAAAAACAAGCAGCTGATCCATGCAATGCGGGCACAGCCCCACTGCATTGTACAACAAACATGTGACTGGAGTTCTGCATTAATCACCACTGGGGTTTTTTTGTTTTTTGTTTTACTATAGAAATGAATAAAAATACCCCAAATTTTGAAAAGATTCCCACTTTTGTCTTAGTTTCTATTATAAACATTTTTCAATTTAATTTAGACCAACATGTATTCTGCTACAAACTATGGTATATACAGTGTATTTGAAAATTGATCAGTCCTAAGGTACTGACTGCCTACCTCATTTAATGAGGCCCTAAAATGCCAGGACAGTACAAATAAACCTCCTAATGACCCCTTTTTGGAAAGTAGGCAGTCCAAAGTATTTGGTAAGAGGCATGGTGAGTTTTCTGAAGTTTTTTGTCACACTTTCTCGAAAAAGGAAGAAACCAAATAACATTTTTCTTCACAAAATTGTCATTTCAGCAAGTTATGTCTTACACACGGCGTAGGCATACTTATAATGACACCCCAAAGCACATTCTGATATGCCTCCCGAGTATGGCGATACCATGTGCGAGACTTTTTCACAGTCTAGAACAGGGGCGGACTGACCGTTTGGAAACTCGGGCACTGCCCGAGGGCCCGGGGTCATTAGGGGGCCCCATAAGATGCCCCTGGTACCTTTTTCATAGGCTTTTTTGAGTTTGGGCAAGGTCACAGGGGCACCATGATCCCCTATTGCCCGGGGACCCCATGAGTTGTCAGTCCGCCCCTGGTCTAGATGCATAGAGGAGCCCAAAATCTTTGGTTTTCAAAGAGCATAAATGGTGCATAAATTACGCATCTAATTTCTTAACTACCTATCACATTTTCGGAGACCCTGGAGCACCAGGACATTGGAAACATCTACAAAATGACCCATTTTGGAAAGCAAACACTTCAAGGTAATTTTCAAAAGGGCATAATGAGTCTTTTGAAAATACCATTTTTTGCAACAAGTTTTTGGAAAATGCAGGAAATAAGATGGAAATGTTTATTTTAACACAAAGTTGTCCAGTTATAAGATATTTCTAAGGCACATTATAGGCATACTTAGAATTACACCCCAAAACACATTCTGCTACTTCTCCCTAGCATGGGAGACTTTTTCACAGCCTAACATTACAGAGGGGCCCAAAATCCAAAGAGCACCTTAAGGCCGTCTAGGAGGATAAATTATGCATTTCATTTCCTCTCTACCTATACATTTTGTGGAGGCCCTGGAGTACCAGAACAGTAGAAAATCCCATTGGATTACCACATTTTGGGAAGCAAACACCCTAAGGTATTTTCTAAGAGGCACGGTGAGTCTTTTGAAGACTTCGTTTTTTGCCACAAGTTTCTGGAACATGTAGAAAGAAAATGAAAATTAATTTTGTTACACAATGTTGTCAATTCAACTATTTCAGTACTGAGCACTTTCAGCCCCCTCCTGCCCAGGCCAATCTTAGGCTTTTTTACACAAATAGAGTTTTCTTTTGGTGGTGTTTAGGCACTACTGATTTTTCATTTTTTGCTAAATAAACAAAAAAGACCGAAATTGTTTAATAAAAATGCATTTTTTTTAATTTTGCAATTAAATAATCTTTTTTCATAAATTTAGGACAAAATGTATTCTGCTACATTTTCACATTTTGGTGAATATAACCCAAATCATTGTAGATTATTTAGTCTGTAGTAAAGTTATAGAGTCCACAAACTCTGAAAATTGATCGATCCTTATGTACTGATGGCCTAATCTAGTTTCTTAATAATTGTGTTATATCATTTTGCAAATAAATTTAGACCAAAGTGTATTCTGCAACAAATTGTGGTATATACAGTTAGGTCCATATATATTTTGACAAATGCACAATTTTCATACTTTTGGCTCTGTATGCGACCAGAATAAATTAAAACGGAATAATCCAAATGAATTTGAAGTACAGACTTTCAGCTTTAATTCAAGGGGTTGAACACAAATATCAAGTACAAATTTTAGAAACTGCAACCATTTTATATACAGTCCCTCCATTTTCAGGGTCTCAAAAGTAATTGGACAAATGAATATAATCATAAATAAAATGTTCATTTTTAATATTTTGTTGAGAATCCTTTACTGGCAATAACTGCCTGAAGTCTGGAACTCATGAACATTACCAAAGACTGGGTTTCCTCCTTTCTGGTGTTTTGCCAGGCTGTAATTGCAGCTGTCTTCAGTTGTTCTTTGTTTGTGGGACTTTCTGCCTTTAGTTTTGCCTTCAGCAAGTGAAATGCATGCTCAATTGGGTTGAGATCAGGTGACTGACTCATTGCAGAATATTCCACTTCTTTTCCTTCAAAAGCTCCTGGTTTGCTTTAGCAGTGTGTTTTGGATCATTGTCCATCTGTACTGTGAAGCGCAGTCCAATCAACTTTGCTGCATTTGGCTGAATCTGGGCTGACAGTATATCTCTATACACTACAGAATTCAGCCGGCTGTTTCTTTCTTCTGTCACATCATCAATAAACACCTATGACCCAGTGCCACTGGAAGCCATGCATGCCCATGCCATCACACTGCCTCCACCATGTTTTACAGATGACATTGTGTGCTTTAGATCATTAGCTGTTCCAAGCCTTCTCCATAATTTTTTCTTCCCGTCATTCTGGTACAGATTAATCTTAGTTGCATCCATCCAAAAAATACTTTTCCAGAACTGGTCTGGCTTTTTAGATGTTTTTTGGCAAAGTCTAATCTGGCTTTTCAATTCTTCAGTCTTTTGAATGGTTTGCACCTTGTGCTGAACCCTCTGTACTTGCTCTCATGAAGTCTTCTCTTGATTGTAGACTCAATGATATGCCCACCTCCTGGAGAATATCCTTCACTTGTCTGGATGTTGTGAATGGGTTTTTCTTTACCATAGAGAGGATCCTGTGATCATCCACCACTGATGTCTCCGGACCATGCCTGTTGCTGAGCTCACCAGTGCCTTCTTCTTTCCTCAGAATGTACCAAACTCCACTCCTGATTGCTGCTATCTCTCTGATGGAGTTGTTTCATTTTTAAGGCCTGTTTCACGTGCATGGACAGATACTTTGAATGCTTGATGTAGGTTCACAGCAATAGATTCCAAATGCAAATACCACACTTAGAATCAACTCCAGACCTGTTACCTGCTTATTTGATGAAGAAATAACGAAAGAGTAGCCCACACCTGGCCATGAAACAGCTTTTGATTCAATTGTCCAATTACTTTTGGTCCCTTGAAAAAGGGGAAATGGCTACTCTTAAGAGTTGTAATTACGAAACCCTTCCTCCAATTTGGATGTACATACCCTAAAATTAAACCTGAGGGTGTGCACTTTCAGCCCATATCCAATATATCGGGTGTCGGCAACCCGCGGCTCCAGAGCCGCATGCGGCTCTTTTTCACCTTGGCTGCGGCTCCGGAGCACACTGCTCACCAGGTGACAGGCAATAGGGCAGCAATGGGCAAACTACGGCCCGCGGACCTTTTAATCCGGCCCGCGGAGCTAGGCTCCTCTCACAGTCCGCCCTGAAGACCGGTGTAGCATGAAAATGAGGATCTGTCTCCTATGAGGATCTGTCCCCCTCGACTAATGCCTGAAACTGGCACATGCGCAGATATCCTCATAGGAGACAGATTTTCATGCACACCGGAACGGCGAGGAAACACGGCGAGAGGAACGCGCGGAGCAAAGGTAAGTGAATTGACACAGGGGGACTTAATATGGGGGATGAATTAATATGGGGGTTGAATTACTATATGGGGGATGAATTACTATGGGGGATGAATTACTATATGGGGGATGAATTACTATATGGGGGATGAATTACTATGGGGGATGAATTACTATATGGGGGATGAATTACTATATGGGGGATGAATTACTATGGGGGATGAATTACTATATGGGGGATGAATTACTATATGGGGGATGAATTACTATATGGGGGATGAATTACTATATGGGGGATGAATTACTATATGGGGGATGTATTTTCAGTTTTAAAAATGTGGCTCTCAAAATAAATTTCAATCGTGGTTTTGGCGAGATTTGGCTCAGTTGAAAAAAAAAAAGGTTGCCCACCACTGCAATATATAACTATAGCTTGAATATGTTTTGGTAAATACCTGAAAAAAACTAAAATTGTGTCCAAATATATATGGACCCAACTGTACATTTGAAAACTGATTAGTCCTGAGGTACTGACTGCCTATCTCATTTAATGAGGCTGAGAAAATGCTAGGACAGTACAAATATCCCCCAAATGACAGTCCATGATATTTAGTGAGAGGTGTGGTAAGTTTTTGAAGTTGTAATTTTATTTAATTTTTTTGGAACATGAAGACATTTCTAAAAATTGTTTTTCCCCCTTTTTTTAACATACAATCACCAGTGCAGTATACTGTAACTGGTGTGGCAGTGATCAGGGACACTGACTGGTGACAGTATGCAAACTAAACATTTTTTACATTTGTTTAAATATTTTTTTTTACATACTGTGACCAGAGCAATACATTGTTACTATAGTAACACTGCACTACTCTGGGGAAGTGATCAGGATTTTTTTTTACACACTATGATTGCTTAGACGAGTAATAGGCTGTGATTGGCCCTGTCTGTATCATGTGATCACTGTGACAAATCACAGAGATCAAGACAATAGAACACAATGGGTGGCATGAATGAACGCCATCTATTGTGTACAATTGTCATGTGATCTGCTGTGATTGGTCAGCGGGTGGTACACTGACCGATCTGCTGGGTCCAGTGGACACAGCAGGTGACAGATTGTGCCGCAATGCGGCCCCTAGGGCAGGCAAGCTGCGTTCTGGGGAGGATGTCATATAATATAATTCTGTAATGATGAGTATCCAGTTTCTGGATAATAAAATATTTCTCACACAGATCATGGGCATACTTAGGATTACAACCCAAAACTCGTTCTGCTACTCCTGAGTATGGCGATACCACGTGCAAGACTTTTTCAATGTTTGGGCTAGTTATGTACCAGACATTGTATCTTGTTTATCACACAAATCAACCAATTGTATCAAAACCAATTTACTGTAATGGCTGCCTCTACATTAATAGTCAGGGAATATAGCTTAGTGTAGCATCGCCTATAGCAGTCCCAGTTCCTATAAGCCAAGCAAGCTTAGCCTACTAGTACATGGCTGCCCTCGGGAATCATAAATGGAATGTGTGCGCTGTACACTGAAACAATCAAATCCAAAACCTAGACACAATACATCCAAAAAAGTCCTAATACATAAAGTGAATGAACATAAGAATTCCAAATCCAATGTGAAAGTGCTGTGTGCTCTGAGAAATCTTCCAACAAAGTGTTATAGTGACCACAATAGTTTGCCACAACAGACAAATCAGCCTCTTGATCTTCAATCAAGAAATCAAACGAGCAGACGGTGTTGAGATTCCACATTGAAACCCATGTTAGCAATATCAAAGCAAATGAATGAACGACTGCAGGTTCACCCCGACTAATTCCTCACACCGCTCTCCAAACAATGGAGTTTAAAACAGAAGAGACTTCATAGTAAAACTCACAAAATTTTTTTATTAAAATATTGCACTTACACAGATAAGGTGCATAGCTGAGTTCTTGCAGGAAAAAAATATTTTGCAGCATGGATTCATGAAAGACAGAAGTTGTCAAACAAATCTGATTTCTTTTTATGAGGAGGTGAGCAAAACCTTGGACAGAGG